TTTTTTTTTTCAAGAAACTATGTGGCAACTCCACTTAAACTCCTCCAAAAAAAGGGTTCTTTGAAATGTCTACAAGCCCTAACGTATGTACATGTATGTATGTAAATTCATGTAAAACTGGATTTCAAAAATTACTTGATTCTTAAAAAAATAATATGGCAACCCTACCCACAAGTGTTTCAAGATTTAAAAAAAAAAACGTTTTATTTTCATATGTATGTTTTTTTTTTGAAATTCCTTCATCTCGACAATATGGCAACCCTAGTTATGAAAACAAATTGTTTTATTTTTAAGAAGGTACATTTTTTTTTTAATTAGATTTATCATTTTTGTAAAATTTTATCAAAAAATGCTACCAACATTATAAGAAAAAATACAAACCCCTTCCACTTATTAATTACTTTATTAAAAAAATAGACTTGATTTTATAAAACAAAAGAAATGCTCGCTTAAAATTCCACCGTCAAAAAATTATTACATAAATATTTGTAAATATAAAATATTCTATGGCAACCCTATCAGCTAATTATATTTTCAAATTCAAATTAAATACACTCGGTAGTCCTTTTTTCTACAAATAAGCATATATATGTAAGTAACATTAAGAGATTTTACGCTAATTCTAAATTTCAACTTGAAACATTCTTTTCTGCAAAACAGTGTTCGTCAGGTAACCCAAAGTGGGTTGTTTTAGTTTACACTCCCAAGTCGCTCACTTTGATCGCCTATGCAGCGCTCAGTTCATTGCCGTAGCGGAACTCACCACAGTGAACGAGCCAAGCAGTAAGAAGAAGCACAGTAAACAAAATTAGTCGGCATAGTGAAAATCGCTAAAAGCACGTGGTTGCGAGAAAAAGTGCAATTTAATAGCAATAAACAACATAAAAGGAAAAAAATCGCGAGTGCGTGAAACAATAAACCAAAACAATTACGTGTAATAATAGTGTGTAAGTATGTGCGGTGATATTTATTTACTCAATAGCAATCGTTGTTTACAAAGTGCAAATGAAATGTGAAAAGTGTCGCGTGCGGAAATCAAGTGTGGTATTTTAAGATAAATAAATTGGCGTGAGAGGTTATAAAGTGTGCTATTTTAAAATGAAAAGGTATGTGGAAGAGGGAAATATATATGTATGTATGTAATCACTGCCGTAAAGGAGCGCGCCAGTGTCTAAGAATTGAAGCGCCCTACGCTGAAAGTGGGCGCCCCTCGCAGCAAGTGACGACGGCAGCAACTTCTTAAGTGGCTGACAGAAGTCGGAAGAAATTTAGAATAAAGTGCAAAAAAAAACAGAATACAACGCTGCGGGCGCGCGAGCTGAGGCTGTTCAACAACGACGACGACGCCGACGAAGGAGTTGCAATGACGAAGGAAGCAAAGGTAGGAACTGTTGGCTACAATATTTATATATATTTTCACGCTTTTGTTTTTGTTGGCTACTATATTTATTTGTATATTTATTTTTGCAACAATAAAAAAAAAGCGCAGTAGCGCAGTGTGAGCCAAGGAAAGAAAAATCAAGCTACGCAAAAATTTGGTGCTGAAGCGCTGAATAGTGAAAGAGGCGCAGGCAGTCCAAATAAAAAGCAAATTTAAAAGGAACAAATATAATGGTTAAGAGCGAAAAATAAAACACATGAAATGGCGAAACAAAGCAAATATAAATAGGAAAAGTGTGAAAAATAAACAATAAATAACAAAGAAAATAAATCGGTAGAAAAATTCGCCCGGCTTTTGTGAAATTCTCTCGCGCCACATACAGGAAACACTTGTTTGACTTATGGCAACAGGAAGGATGCAGCTAAAGTGGCAAAAGCACCTGTGCGCGTCAGCAAACTCCCACATACATGCACACTTTGCGGGCCGTCTCGTAATAACAAAGAATGCACGGGTGTGTGTGTGTGTATGTGTACGCGAAGAACCGCAAATGGCGTGCTCACGAAAAAACGGGTTAAGAGAAAGCATAAAAAATACGCCATGCAAG